TGGCCAGATCGCAAGAATACACCAGGATTGGTATGATGAAAATGACTCGTTAATCAACGTACTCGTTGATGGTAAACATGCTGTTTTCATTAACTGGCAGAATAACATTCAGTGTCGGACCAAAGCTGATACCTTCTACGAGAAGAAAACGACGGCCCGGCGCGACTTCGCATTCTGAAGAACGAATGGTGGAAAAATAAAGCATGTGAAATGAAAAAAATGCGTAGATCAACACAAGATGTGTGAAATTCTCAATTCCACTGAAACGATATATGGCCCAATTAGTCATGGCGTCGCCCCCCCCTCCCCCCCTCCACTCATCCGACGGTAACTCCCTAATTGAAGACGAAGAAGGCATCCGTCAGCACTGGGAAGAGCACTACCCAGCAGGTCTTCAGCATCCAGAGCTGACATACTTCAGCTATCCTCCATCCCGGGATGAGGTAATTACTGCCATTATGCAGATGAAAAATAACAAAGCCACGGGGCCTGATGGAATCCCAGCCGAGGTGTATAAAACAGGAGGACCACTCCTTCCATCTCAGTACACTCTCTCCCGGAGAATATATGGGAGAAGGAGGAAATCCCTCAGGGTCTTAATGACGCCTCCATCGCCAAAATTTATAAGAACAAGGGAGACCGGTCAGACTGTGGCATCTACCGTGGGATCTCGCTGCTGTCCGTAACTGGCAAGATTATCGTCCGAGTCCTCCTAAACAGACTTCTTCCTTATGCGGAAAACTTCCTCTCAGAATCTCAATGTGGCATTAAATCATCACACGGCACCACTGACATGATCTTTGCTGGCTGTCAGATACAGGAAAAGTGCAGAGAACAGCGAATGTGACTTATACAGGGCATTCATCGACCTTACCAAGGCCTTCGACTCGGTCAACAGGAAAGCCCTCTGGCAGATCCTCGGTCATTTAGGTTGCCCACCAAAATTCATCGCCAATGTGAGAAAACTCCATGGTGCGGTGGCATGAACGGCAGTGTCTCACACAATGGAACCCAGTCTTAGTTCTTCCCCATCCAAACGCGGGTAATACAAGGATGTATACTGGCACCAACTCTCTTTTACATTTTCCTGACTGCCTTCCTTATTCAGGCCAGTGCCAATTTAGCCAGTGAGGTCGATATCCAGTATAGGATGAAGGGACTTTTCAACATAAGCTGACTCCAAGTAGAAACAAATGTGTCGGCCGCTTCCATCACTGACCTTCAGTATGTAGACGACCTCACCCTCGTCGTTCACACTGAACGCGACCGACAGGAGATCCTGAACACCTACGCAGATGAGTATGCACACTTCGGCCAAGAGGTAAATGTGCCTAAGACCCAGATTCCCTTTCAGCCTGCCCCTGGTTCAGCCACACCTCCACCATCCATCCAGCTTAACAGTACTACCCTCTCTAATGTTACCCACTTTCAGTATTTCGGCTCCCACCTGTCTTTGGCAGACTCCGAACGAGTGTCTTCAGCTCTAGGGAGCTGAAATTATCTACAAAGTTGTGCGTATATCGAGTAGTGGTCTTCCCCACCCTGCTGTATGGCAGTGAGGCATGAGTCACATACAGGAGGCATCTCATCGCACTTGTAAACTTTCACCTACGTAGTTTGCGTTCCATCCTCCGAGTTCGCTGGGAAGACAAGAGAAAATATATGCCAGTATTCTCACTGACACCAACTGTAGGAGCATCGAATCTACCATTATCCCTGAACAACTACGTTGGAGTGGCCATGTTACCCACATAGACGACAGTAGACTGCCACTTAACGAATGGTAGACGTAACGCTGGCGGGCAACGGAAAATGTATAGATAGTTTTAAGACAAACCTGAAAAAGTGCCAAAACGAGCCCTTCACCTGGGTGACGATCGCTCCACACCGTAACGATTGGAGGAGCACCACACGAGAAGGTGTCAATACAGGGTACTTTAGAGTTAGCCGACCGCATACCGAAGCGGACAAGCGTCAACGCCATCGCCGAAAAGATGCTCCCGTCGCCCCTCCTGCACTAGATGTAGCCACTCGAGTCACCTGAGAGCTCACCAACGAAGGTGACAGCTTTCATAACTCATATCATTGAATCATAGCTAGATGATCGTCATACTCGATTCCGAGTGACAGCAAAGTAGTGGGTTTGTAGTGTAATGTTAGCTGGGTTAGGTTTTTAGTGTGGTGTTAGCTGGTTCAGGTTGTTTGTGTGGTGTTAGGTGAGATAGGTGTCAGTGTGGTGTTAGCTGGATTAGGTTTTTTAGTATGGTGTTAGCTGGTTCAGGTTGTTAGTGTGGTGTTAGCTGGGTCACGTTGTTAGTGTGGTGTTAGGTGAGATAGGTGTCAGTGTGGTGTTAGCTGGATTAGGTTTTTTAGTGTGGTGTTAGCTGGTTCAGGTTGTTAGTGTGGTGTTAGCTGGGTCAGGTTTTTAGTGTGGTGTTAGGTGAGATAGGTGTCAGTGTGGTGTTAGCTGGATTAGGTTTTTTAGTGTGGTGTTAGCTGGTTCAGGTTGTTAGTGTGGTGTTAGCTGGGTCAGGTTTTTAGTGTGGTGTTAGGTGAGATAGGTGTCAGTGTGGTGTTAGCTGGATTAGGTTTTTTAGTGTGGTGTTAGCTGGTTCAGGTTGTTAGTGTGGTGTTAGCTGGGTCAGGTTTTTAGTGTGGTGTTAGCTGGTTCAGGTTGTTAGTGTGGTGTTAGGTGAGATAGGTGTTAGTGTGGTGTTAGCTGGGTCAGGTTGTTATTGTGGTCGGGATGTTAGTGTGGTGTTAGCAGTGTTGCCGTTTCTACAGATTGTAGATCTGCGGATTTATCATGTCTAATTAGATTTTCAGTTTTTTTTCCTTCAAATGGGTCGGGTCAAATCTACAGATTTTTTTGTAATCATAGGATTTATTTACATACTGTATAACCAAGAAAACTTATTTTAAACAATACTCACTTAAATAACTAATTAAATAATTAAGAAAATGCGTTTTCTCAACAAAGTCCAGCGAAATTTTCAATTGTCACTTCCCAATTACCATTTACTCTGAAATCTGATGTTTTGAAATTTGAATTGCGCGCCGTTCCATTTCATGATGAGCGTGCGGTCGCCCGGCGTGCCACTTGTCTTCTTTACTCAGCTTGCTTTGCTCAATTGAGCATTTAGCTGTACCAGATAGTCAAACTATTGACTCTGAAAGGAAGCTGCTAAGAAATAGTTCACAGAACTTTAAAGTACATGCCAATATGAGACCCGAAGAATTTTGGAAAATAGTGAGACAAGACAAGTTGATAACACTTTGCTGTTTCCACGTCTCTCCAATTCCATGCAAACTCTCTTGTGACTACCTCACTCAAGTGCGACAGTGGAGCAGGGGCGGATCCAGGGGGGTCCTGGGGGCCCGGACCCCCTCTTTTCATCAGAAAATTCCAATACTTTGCTTTAATGCAAGATTGTACTCAGACATTTATGAATAGTAAAAAGTAAATACTATTGACCTCAGAATATCTCCTAATATCAATCAAGTGCACATAGCTTCAAAATGGCCTCAAAATGACCATGGTATTGGTCAAATCAAAAAAAATATTCTGGGGGGCTTGCAGCTTCCCCCCCCCCCCAAAAAAAGCTGGGTGACCTCGCTTTGCTCGCCCTGTTCCCCCACCCAAAACCTCTTTTGATACTCCTGGATCCGCCCCTGTGGACAGGTGTTCTCATCAAGAAATAGAATGAAAACTAAATCTAGGAATAGGTTATCCACAGAAACACTTAAAGGCCTCCTCCATGCAAAGCAAAAGTGAACTGATCAAAGGTAACACATACTTTAACTTTCTAGTAACACAAACTGCTGAAAAGAACACAGAAAGCTAATACACAAGATGACAAATAAGCATATACTTTCTAGTTGCTTTAATTAATTAGAATGCTACTACAGAGCCATACACTGCTATAAAGTTATCATATTTGTGGACTGCATCACTCATTTGATTCAAGGTATTGAATTCTTTGTTTAGAAAAATGCTTTGTTTGAGTATATGCTGGTATCATACAGAAACTGCTATTCTTGTACGGTATGCCTCATACAGTGCATAATAATTAATGGTAGTAATAATTAATTTTATGTTTCACTATATTATGTCATTCAAGCTGTATAGTTTTTCAATGATGTCTATAAAAAGTATTTCAGTGAAGTAAAACGAAGGAAAAGCAGATTTGTTTAAGTTACTCCTATAAAGAAAACTAAAAACAAAGTAAGAATTATTATATTTCTACTGTAAAAAGCCTACAGATGATTCTACAGATATTACTTCTTAATCTTCAGATTTTCTACAGATATTACTTCTTAATCTTTAGATTTTCTCCAGGTATTTTGCAGTAAATCTTCAGACATTTCAATTTTATAAATGGCAACACTGGGTGTTAGTTGAATTAGTTTAGTTTATGGCGATAATATAACTTTTCACTTACCAAATGGTATTGATTTTTTTTTACTTAAAGATATATATTAAATCCCTATCGTGTGTTTCGTATCCTATGGGCCAACTGTGTTGTGTAACGGGAGTGCATTAGTGTGTGCAGCGCAGGCAAAACCAGAGAATATTTCATCAATAGAACTAGATTTTAGTATACTCGTAGGGTTTCTGTGGTAGTTGCTGTATCAAGCTGCGGAACTTTGTTTACGTTTTTTCAGTGAAGTGAGGGGCTTGTTAAATTCAGCGAACTGTTTGGTGTGTCAGTCATACAGTACAGTGGAATAATACCTGACCTCCACTGTAGGACACTATTGTTGGACACGAAGATCTGAGTGTTCACGGTGTTATTCTTAATATGTTCTCCTTGTGAACTTGACAGTAGTATCAACGCTGATTATAGAGTTTAACTAATACAACCTCTGAATAATTTTAAATACAATTTATATTTCTAATTGATGTGTTAATTTTTAATAATATGTGTATCACTGTGTGCGTGTGTGTGTGTGTGTGTGTGTGTGTGTGTGTGTGTGTGTGTGTGTGTGCGTGCTTACAGGTTCCGGGGCATCTGTGATTCTACTCTATATGATGACCGCTTCGTACTGGCTGGGACGCTGAACGAGAAGCCGTACTTCAGAGGCTACTACCGCTCCCACATATACTACACTGCTGACAGTCGCTGGCGCCTCGAGAACATTTTGGTGAGAAAAACAGAGAAAAGGTACAGGCCAGGTAGACCAGCTGTGGGCCATGTAGACCAGCTGTGGACCAGGTAGACCAGCTGTGGACCAGGAAGACCAAGTGTGGGCCATGTATACCAGGTGTGGGCCACGTATGCCAGGTGTGGGCTAGGTAGACTAGGTGTGGGTCAGGTAGGCCAGCTGTTGGCCACGTAGAAGAAAAGGTGTGGGCTGGGCAGACCAGGTGTGGGCCAGGTAGACCAGGTGTGGGACATGTATACCAGGTGTGGGCCATGTATACCAGGTGTGGGCCAGGTAGACCAGGTGTTGACCTGTTAAAACCAGGTGTGGGCCATGTAGACCTGGTGGGCCAGGTAGACCAGCTGTGGGCCATGTAGACCAGCTGTGGACCAGGTAGACCAGCTGTGGACCAGGAAGACCAAGTGTGGGCCATGTATACCAGGTGTGGGCCACGTATGCCAGGTGTGGGCTAGGTAGACTAGGTGTGGGTCAGGTAGGCCAGCTGTTGGCCACGTAGAAGAAAAGGTGTGGGCTGGGCAGACCAGGTGTGGGCCAGGTAGACCAGGTGTGGGACATGTATACCAGGTGTGGGCCATGTATACCAGGTGTGGGCCAGGTAGACCAGGTGTTGACCTGTTAAACCAGGTGTGGGCCATGTAGACCTGGTGTAGGCCAGGTAGACCAGGTGTTGACCTGTTAAACCAGGTGTGGGCCATGTATACCAGGTGTGGGCCAGGTAGACCAGGTGTTGACCTGTTAAACCAGCTGTGGAACATGTAGACCAGGTGTAGGCCAGGTAAAACAGTTGTAGGCAAAGTATACCAAGTATGGGTCAGGTAGACCAGGTATGGGCTAGGTAGACCAGGTGTGTGCCAGGTAGACCAGCTGTGGGCCATGTAAACCAGGTGTGGGCCATGTATACCAGGTGTGGGCCAGGTAGACCAGGTGTTGACCTGTTAAACCAGGTGTGGGCCATGTAGACCTGGTGTAGGCCAGGTAGAACAGGTGTAGGCCAAGTATTCCAAGTGTGGTCCAGGTAGACCAGGTGAAAGCCAGGGAGACCCGGTTCAGGACTTGGAGACCAATTACAGGCCGGGGAGACCAACTACAGGCCAGGGAGGCAAAATACAGGCCAGGGAGACCAGATGTGGGCTAGATAGATCACGTGTAAGACAAGGAGATTAGATGAAGACCAAGGAGACCAGGTACACGCCACGTAGACTAGGGACAGATCAGGTAGATCAGGCACAAGCCAGGTACACCAGGGACAAGCCAATTAGACCAGGTACAGGCCAGATAAACCAGGTTCAGTCCAGGTAAACCAAGTACAGGCCAGGCACACCAGGTAAAGGCCAGGTAGACCACGTACAGGCCACGTAAACCATGAGTAAGTCAATGAGACCAGTTACAGGCCAGGTAGACCACGTACAGCCCAGGTAGATAAGGTACAGAACAGGGAAACTAGAAAAACGCCAGAGAGATCATGAGGAAGTCAATGACACCAGGTGTAGGCCAGGGAGACCAGGTGTAGGCCAGGGAGACCAGGTGTAGACCAGGAAGACCAGGTGTAGGCCAGGGAGACCAGGTGTAGGACAGGGAGACCAGGTGTAGACCAGGGAGACCAGGTGTAGACCAGGGAGACCAGGTGTAGACCAGGGAGACCAGATGTAGACCAGGGAGACCAGGTGTAGGACAGGGAGACCAAGTGTTGACCAGGAGCACCAGGTGTAGACCAGGGAGACCAGGTGTAGACCAATGAGACCAGGTGTCGACCAGGGGGACCAGGTGTATACCAGGGAGACAAGGTGTAGGACAGAGAGACCAGGTGTAGGACAGGGAGACCAGGAGTAGGACAGAGAGACCAGATGTAGACCAAGGAGACCAGGTGTAGACCAGGGAGGCCAGGTGTAGACCAGGGAAACCAGATGTAGGACAGGGAGACCAGGTGTAGACCAAGGAGACCAGGTGTGGGCCAGGAAGACCAGGTGTAGGACAGGGAGACCAGTGTGAGACCAGGGAGACCAGGTGTAGGCCAGGAAGACCAGGTGTAGGACAGGAGACCAGGTGTAGACCAGGGAGACCAGGTGTAGGGACAGGGAGACCAGGTGTAGACCAGGAAGACCAGGTGTAGGGCCAGGGAGACCAGGTGTAGGACAGGAGACCAGGTGTAGGGACAGGGAGACCAGGCAGGGACAGGGAGACCAGGTGACCAGGGAGACCAGGTGGGGACAGGGAGACCAGGTAGGGACAGGGAGACCAGGTGTAGGGCCAGGAGACCAGGTGTAGGCCAGGAAGACCAGGTGGGGACAGGGAGACCAGGTGTGGACCAGGGAGACCAGGTGTAGGCCAGAAGACCAGGTGTTGGACAGGGAGACCAGGTGTAGACAGGGAGACCAGGTGGGGACAGGGAGACCAGGTGAGACCAGGAGACCAGGTGTAGGCCATGAAGACCAGGTGTAGGACAGGGAGACCAGGTGTAGACCAGAGACCAGGTGTAGACCAGGGAGACCAGGTGTAGACCAGGGAGACCAGGTGTAGGCCAGGAAGACCAGGTGTAGGGACAGGAGACCAGGTGTGAGACCAGGGAGACCAGGCAAAATTAGGGAGACCAGGTGTAGACCAGGGACCAGGTGTGGGGGACAGGAGACCAGGTGACCAGGAGACCAGGTGTAGACCAGGGAGACCAGGTGTAGGGACAGGGAGACCAGGTGTAGGGCCAGGAAGACCAGGTGTAGGACAGGGAGACCAGGTGTAGACCAGGGAGACCAGGTGTAGGGACAGGGAGACCAGGTAGACCAGGGAGACCAGGTGTAGACCAGGGAGACCAGGTAGGACAGGGAGACCAGGTGTAGGGACAGGGACCAGGTGTAGGACAGGGGACCAGTGTAGGGACAGGAGACCAGGTGTAGACCAGGGAGACCAGGTGTAGGACAGGGAGACCAGGTGTAGGGACAGGAGACGGTGTGGGAGGACAGGGAGACCAGGTGTAGGGACAGGGAGACCAGGTGGTAGACCAGGGAGACCAGGTGTAGGCCAGGAAGACCAGGTGTAGGGACAGGGAGCACAGGTGTAGACCAGGGGAGATCTGGTAGACAAGGAAGACCAGGTGTGTAGCCAGGGAGACCAGGTGGGGACAGGGGAGACCAGGTGTGAGGGACAGGGAGACCAGGTGTAGGACAGGGAGACCAGGTGACCAGGAGACCAGGTGTAGGACAGGGAGCACTGGGTGTAGGACAGGGATCAGGTGTGGGGCCAGGGAGACCAGGTGTAGGCCAGGAAGACCAGGTGTAGGGACAGGAGACCAGGTGTGAACAGGAGACCAGGTGTAGGCCAGGAAGACCAGGTGTAGGACAGGGAGACAGGTGTGACCAGGGAGACCAGGTGTAGGGACAGGGAGACCAGGTGTAGACCAGGGAGACCAGGTAGGCCAGGAAGACCAGGTGTAGGGACAGGGAGACCAGGTGTAGACCAGAGAGACCAGGTAGACCAGGGAGACCAGGTGCAGACCAGGGAGACCAGGTGTAGGGACAGGAGACCAGGTGTAGACCAGGAGACCAGGTGCAGACCAGGAGACTAGGCAGGACAGGGGAGACCAGGTGGTGGGCCAGGGAAGACCAGGTGTAGGGACAGGGAGACCAGGTGTAGACCAGGAGACCAGGTGTAGGACAGGGAGACCAGGTGTAGACCAGGGAGACCAGGTGTAGACCAGGGGAGACCAGGTGTAGGGACAGGGAGACCAGGTGTAGGGACAGGGAGACCAGGTGTAGGACAGGAGACCAGGTGTAGGGACAGGAGACCAGGTGTGGACCAGGAGACCAGGTGTAGGGACAGGGAGACCAGGTGTGAGGACAGGGAGACCAGGTGTAGGGACAGGGGAACAGGTGTGAGACCAGGGAGACCAGGTGTAGGGCCAGGGAAGAATGTGTGGACAGGAGACCAGGTGTAGACCAGGAGGACAGGTGTGTAGGCCAGGAAGACCAGGTGTGTGGACAGGGAGACCAGGTAGACCAGGGGAGACCAGGAGTGTAGACCAAGGGAGACCAGGTGTAGACCAGGGACACAGGTGTGAGGGACAGGGAGACCAGGTGTAGACCAGGGAGACCAGGTGTAGACCAGGGAGACCAGGTGTAGCCAGGAAGACCAGGTGTAGGGACAGGGAGACCAGGTGTAGACCAGGGAGACCAGGTGTGAGCCAGGGAAGACCAGGTGTGGGACAGGGAGACCAGGTGTGAACCAGGGGCCAGGTGGGACAGGAGACCAGGTGTGGGACAGGGAGACCAGGTGTGTGGGACAGGGAGACCAGGTGTAGACCAGGGAGACCAGGTGTGGGACAGGAGACCAGTGTGGCAGGACAGGAAACCAGGTGTGAACCAGGGAGACCAGGTGTGAACCAGGAAGACCAGGTGTGGGACAGGACCAGGTGTGGGCCGGGAGACCAGGTGTGAACCAGGGAAGACCAGGTGTGGGGACAGGGGACCAGGTGTGGGCCAGGGAGACAGGTGTGTGGGACAGGAGACCAGGTGTAGACCAGGAGACCAGGTGTAGAGACAGGGAGACCAGGTGTAGAGACAGGAGACCAGATGTAGGACAGGGAGACCAGGTGTGAGCCAGGGGACCAGGTGTAGACCAGGGAGACCAGGTGTGTGGGAAAGAGAGACCAGGTGTAGACCAGGGGCAGGTGTGGGACAGGGAGACCAGGTGTGGGCCAGGGGAGCAAGTGTGGGACAGGGAGACCAGGTGTGGGACAGGGAGACCAGGTGTGGGCCAGGGAGACCAGGTGTGGGACAGGGAGACCAGGTGTAGACCAGGGAGACCAGGTGGGACAGGGAGACCAGGTGTGGGACAGGAGACCAGGTGTGGGCCAGGGAGGACCAGGTGTGAACCAGAGAGACGGGTGTGGGACAGGGAAACCAGGTGTGGGACAGGGAGACCAGGTGTAGACCAGGGGACCAGTGTAGACCAGGGAGACCAGGTGAGGAAAGAGACCAGGTGTGGGACAG